TGGGTGTGGGTGGGGGTGGTGGTGTGGGTGTGGGGTGTGGGGGGGGCTGTGGGTGGGGGTGTGGGTGTGGGTGTGGGTGTGGGTGTGGGTGTGGGTGTGGCTTTGTCTTTTAGAATGTTCACACCCCCACGCCACATACCATCCACATGCACATCCTCACACCCACACCCACCCCCACATCCACACCCACAACTATCACTTTCATTAAAACTAAAAAATGCTATATCGTTTCATTTTTTTTGATTTCATAAATTTACAAGAATTAAGTTCACATTTCAAAACAAATTGGTTGCACTTGATAAGAAAAAAATGATTGTTGTGAAAGACATTTGTCTCATCGGATATTTTCAAAATTTCGCATGAAATAGAATGGAAAAGTAATGAGATTTCATATAATACACGTCTAATAGAAAAAAAGCTAATCCAATATTTATTGGATCGATTGTTTACATGTAATTGTACATGTAAGAGTTTTGAGTTGTACTCACCTGTTGAACTGTGTTTGATAAGATCGCATTATCGAAAAATAATCTCATACCATATTAAGAGAATCTATCATTTTATTGAATAATTGTGAAAATTTTCAATTTTAGTTCATTATTAGTATAGAATTTAAAATGATTATTGATGTCAAAATACTAATTTTCGTTTGACATGAAAAATGAGCACATCGAATATGTTTTTCAAAACACAACTGCTTTCAATTGGATACAAAAAACAGAATCGCTCAGTAATTGATATCAATTTTATCATTGATTGGACATACAATGAGTGGCTTCCCTAGACTTCTCTATATATTCTTGATTTAAATTTAACTAGATTTTCTTGATATTTTCTGACTTACTCACTATGTAAAGTATTATTCAGCTAGATGAATATTTACCAACCGATAAGGTTTTTATTTTTTAATCTTAGATATCCAAACATGATTCATTGAATACTTTTATTACTCATAATATCAGTGCCTATTTCTATTTCAGTCATCTTTAGTATAGCATAATCCATAACCGAGCCGAAGATCGAGGTACAAAATTTCTATTTGAATTTTCTATATAAACATGTGTATAAATAAAAATGCTTGACTTTTCGTATAATATCAATTACATTATTGTTAGAAAATTATAAATCAACCAAACTGTTTTCAATAAGTTTTTAATTGACGAGTTGACGTAAATTTGTTTTTTTTTCTTTTTTGTAGATATTTTCCATCTGTCCGAATATTCAACAAAAGAGTCATTACTAAAATTATTCTTGATTAGAAAAATAAAAATATTTTGCATTATCCCACTAGGCAATTGCATAGACACTCAAAAATCGATATTTACAAATCAAAGATATAAATCAAAAACATCTCTAACAATCAGTTTAGAAAAAAAAAGAAACATCTAATTCATATAATCATAAGAATTTTATAATATATATTTGATTTATTTATTTTTAAGAAAGAAAAAAAAATCTTCCTTTTTGTTCTTAGTTAATTAATTAATTTAACAACAGAGACAAAAAGATGAAATAAAGTTTATAATTGATTAATACCTTCGAAAATTATTATTTACCTCCCGATTCATCTAATAGATCCATTTGTCGATCAACTGCGCCAAGTAATGCTTTTGCAACATAATCTCCAAATGAAAATGGATAATTATATCCTCGAGTACGACGTACTTGTTCACGTTCAGTTTTATAATCATCAACAACATCAACATTCATCATTGTACGATCCCATTGTGATAAATAAGCTACACTTGATTCATCATCTGTACAGGAAAGAAATGTTACATATGTTGTATTGGCTTGACGTTCATTACGCATTAAATTTTCTAAACCTTGTATCTCAACATTACCATTTGAATCTGTTGGTTCTCCATCTGTAGCTACAAATACAAGTAAACGTTTATCACTACGAGGTTTACTTGCTGCTGCTTGAAATATTCGTCTTAAAGCTTGTGTAAGTGGTGTTACTCCATCTGGACGTTGACTAAATGATTCAACAACTTGTCGTGAATCAGTTACATTAGGTATTGATGAACGATTAAGAAAATGTAGATCAACTCCATTTGAATTGAATACAGTAGCAATTTCAATAACTATTTGTACAATAGATCGTAATTCATCCCATCGAGTACGTGTTGTTCCATCTACAGGTGTATTCATTGAACCCGAATCATCACAAAGTACAACTATTTCAAATTGTTGAAGTATATTAAGACGTTGAGCAAGTGTATTATTTATTTCATATTGAGCAGCTATTGCTTGAAGACGATCATTAGCTAAAAAATTATATATTCAATCAATGTTCTTTTGTTTTGTCTTATAAAAAAATAAACGTGGAAACCTCGGACTTAAGCCTGAGAGCTTTGTGTACTTCAAAAAGTGAATGAGACAAATCAGTCATCCTAGAGTGCGCGGATATACAAATTAGCTTGGCAAATCTTTTCTATAAACAATTGAATTTTATTGACTACTGCTCAACCAATAGGATTTGTGGTCGAATACAGCTCAGATTTGAACTCTTCGCCTTAATTTACTCTCAGAAATTCGTTCTTTCTATAACTTGATTTCTATTGGTCAGTGCTCAACCAATAGGGCACCGAAACATGTAGAGGACAGATTCGAGTTCTTCACACCAGAAAACCTTCAAGCATCACCTCTTATCGGAAGATAGTGCTCTAATTGTCGATTAGTTAGAGCGTGGACAAGAAGAGAACCGATTTCCGTTTATTTATCTTTGCAGTAGGTGAGCTAGCCTTCTTGTTTCTTTATGTTTTATATACCATTTTGTAGCTCGTAAAATTCTCTATCGAATGGTATAAAATAGTTGGGGTTTTGTTTTAGTATGATAGGAAAAGTTTTTTACGAAAGAGGGGATGGGTCGATTTTCGCATAGGAAGCCAAAGGAAAAAATGAGTACTTTTGCAATAACTCAGGAATGGTTCGGCCAATTCCCTTCATCTTCGAACTCGACCGAGACATTGTTAAGACTGAACTGTGTAGAAAATTTCATCGCGATTGGACTCTCCTTTCAAAAGTTATCGTGTTAACGGACGGACGGACATACTGACCGAATCTAGAGTGTATTCACTTTTTGAGTACACAATAACTTGCTAGCTGATGATCTATATGAACCTTCATTATATCCATCAGCTGTTAAAAAAAACAAGCACCTGAATACGAAAGACCTTTACTGATTATCTCATTTGACTGATGAAAATCCCTAATACCTCCGTGCATTTTTGCATTCACTGACAATGATAATACTGAAGGTGTCTACAATAAAAAATTTATATAGTTTCTTGTGAATGCTTTTTTGACAAAAAAGTTACTATATCTTCAATAATGCCAATATTACGAGCTTCTTGAACCAATGTTGTTGAATCTAAAAGTGATCCCCTATAGCGGGCTACGTAATCTTCAGGATTTTCAATAGTAACATCAAGTTGTTCAAATTTTCGGACTATACGTGCTTGAGGACCTTCGTAAATAACAACAGTACAAGATGCTCTTGGATATTCTCTAGCAGGAGGAGCCGGTTGAACAATCGTACGACGTTCAATTTGACGTCCATACGGAATCCATCGTTCAATTATAATATCTCCTAAATAGAAACAAAACAGGAGTCAGAAATTAAAAGAAAAACAAAGAGAAAATGAAGATAATCGTTTTACGTGGTTTTTCTGGAAGAGGTGGATAACGTTCGATGACAACTGATCGTTGCGGAGTAGGTAATGGAGGTAACATACGAGTAACTGTAAAAAAAATACATCGATCAATTAAATCTATGCAGTTTGAATTTCTTATGTTTCTAACTTGTTTCACTTGGAAGAATTGGCGGTGGTGTTGGTGGTCGTTCACGTAAAATGAGCGGTGGTGGTGAGGAAAGAGGTGGTGCTTGTTCACGTATGATCAGTGGTGGAGGAGGCGGTGGCTGCTCTGCACGCACTTCTTTAATAATGAGCGGCTAAAATCATAAAAATAATGATAAACTTGGATTTAAGACAATATATTTCATTACTCCTGCTGGTGGAAGAGCTGGTGGCTGAAGATATCGAACCAAAACCCGTTGTTCATATGTTGATGGTCTTTCAGGTATTGTTCGCCTAATAATTTCTGGATTCTTACAAAGATCAATACCATGATTTTCCAGATATAGTTCCGTTTCTGATACGCTTCTAGTAACAATTGCCGTATCGCTGCTATAATCTTTAGCTATTGTTGTAGTTCCATATAAAGAATATTGATTAGCTGTAGATTCAAAAGCACTCAGATTAATATCTTTATGCTCATATCGATCTAATCGACTAGTAACCGTATGACTCTGATTGAGGTCAGTATTCAGTCGCTCGTATTGTGAAGAACTCACTTCTACAGGCCTCGAAGCCCATTTACGAAATTCATCTCTATCAATTCTAAACATGGCATATATGTATTTATGGTTCGACTTAAATTCTTAATTCATACTTTTCATCTTGATTTGTATCAATTTCATCGAATAAAGATTTATCTGGACTACGACTTGCCATTATTCCAAGTTGATCAAGTAGAAATAAATTCTTAAATAAAAAACAACAACAATTATTAGTATTGTACGATGGGTCCAAAATTTATTTGCTGAACTTGAAATAGTTGGAATATTTTGCTCGCTATGTCTGAGTCGAATTGATTAAAGAGCTGAATTATATGTCATTATGTAGTATATCATATCTTGTTTTGTATACAACTACTTTCACTAACCCATACCTTTTTAGTTTATATTTTCTAAATAGCATCCTTCATTTATTCTGAATTTGCATGAGAAAAAAAATATTCGGCCAATTTTTGATAAAACTTATACATACTCAATCAATAAATAATACTAACGAAACATTTTGATTTTTTTCTCGAGTCCAGATTTTACAAACAACATTCTAGGGTTGCAACAATCCGATAAAGTTGCTAAGATAAGAACCTTTTTATGACAGATCACATTTAAACATACATATTCGGATGCCTCGAATGAATTACCTTCTCTTTTACCGAATGCAACAAAATAGAAACCAGAATCGAAGCAAAATAAGTGCTAAGCATAGAAGGGTGTGAGTTTCAACGCACAGAACATTGTAATAGCAAATCCATATCGCCGTAAACGATCGATTTCGGTCGGCGTAATGCCCCACCAAGATATTGTAGCTCTTTAACTTCTTGTTGATTCGTCCATTGAAAATGCGTGATTACCTTTCCTCACGGTTCTGCAACTTTTAGTTTACGCAAAGAACAGAAAAATGGTTCTACATGCTTCGTGAAAAGTCGCAACAGGAAAAGAGACAACATGTAGAAGATCCTTGTATTTCTTCTTCAGTTCCTTATTAAGTAATGTAAAATATGGGTGTTGGTATGGGTTTGTTTCGATCCTCGTAAACTGCAATACGCATACCCGTACGGAAATAAACTAAAAATATTTTTGTAAAGGAATATGTGCAAGCAGAAGTTTGTATTAAATATTTTTCAGTGGATGCTTTTGACTAGAAAATGATCTTTTAATGAAATTCCATATTTATATTTTCATCTATAAAGCAATATTTTTCAAAAACAGAGATTGAATACTACGCTTGAGAGTAAAAAAGGATATTTTCTGTTTCAATGTCTCCATTTGCTTCAATACATTGAAATGCATTGATTTGTATTTGTAATCCATTTAATCGATTCATTTTTACCTTGGTCATAGCTATCTACTCTAAAGCAGTACCTAAAATGCTGATCAAAAAGGTTCGTCAAAAATGCGTTTTCTGTATTCAGTAGATGCAATTCAAACAGGCTTCTTCATGGTTATTTTAATAAGAATTAACCCGTTTTTTTACAAGCGGACTACAATATATTCCTTTATATTAAATGTCTAGTTAAAAGGCGAAATTCTCTTAAAGAAAAATGAATACTCACGTTCTTATTTCGATCAATAAAGCTTGTCTACAACAAAAGCTCGGTACTGTTGCGGCAAACACTTTGAAATATCGGACCGAAAAATACGCCGTTTAAATATCACCGCTGTCGGTATAAATCTGTCAGCGTTGAATACAGATTGCAACCATAAAATATGGTTTTTATTACATGTTCTGTCGTTTTCACCATAAAGTTATTTTTCACTTTCTGCGGCTTCAGTAATTCAGCGCTGTGGAAAAAAAACCATCTATCTGTTTCACTTTCTCTCATATGCCTCATATAATGACGATTAAAGTTTATGATGTTTTCAGATCGACGACTATGAAGGTTATGCACTGTCCAAAACAAAACAGATTTTTACAAAACCTAAACGGGTTCACAACTTCGATACATGGTAAAATCCTTTTTTGGTTCAGTAGAACAAGATTTTCCTACGACACCATCCCTCCAAATTCCCAAATATTGTTTTACATGTATAATTTTTAACGAACTATTATTTCCCATATAAAGAAATGATTTCGTACCGATTGCAAATATTTGATTACAATAACGGGCAAACCGCAAAAAACGTCAACATGGCTATAAATCTCAGCTTTCTATCATATAGATACCCAATACTTACCGATAAATATCCCACGGGTACCGACTTCTTACCCACAGGTGCCGCAATGCACGTACGAAGATGGGTGTGCGGGTGTCGGTTGGGGTGGAAAGTTCACATTATTCCTCCCTGAATAGTCATTCTATTCCGCGATGTTGAACATTGCGGAATCCGTTCCGTCTGCGGAATCAGTTTCACCCGATTTCGGGAACTCCGTCATCATTCAGCAAAAGAGACCTATTCGATATCAATTGAGTTGCACGAATTCCGGGAATTGAGTGGAGACGGAATTAGTGGGAATTGGAAGGAATTTCGCAATTGGAAGGAATTCCCGAAATTACAAGGTATTCCGGAATTGGAAGGAATTCCTTCCAATTCCCAGCAATTCCGTCTCGACTCAATTCCCGGAATTCCGTACCGGAATTACTAACTTATCATAAGGATAAATCATCAACCACATCATCATGAGTGTGGGTGAAGGCGAGAAGTAATTCCGTTGCGGAATTCCGAGAATTGAGTGGAGAGGGATTAGTGGGAATTGGAAGGAATTCCCGGAATTGGACAGAATTCTGCAATCAGAAGGAATGCGATCGATATCGATGGGGTCTGTTCTGTAGAACCATAATCGGGTTCCAGGAATTGGACGGAATCAGTTCCGGGGTGGAACTGATTCCGCAATGTTCAACATCGCGGAATAGGATGTATTCTCTCCTCCCCGGTAATGGTAACGGGACAGCTACCAGTTACCCGGAAACAAGAGGACAGGCAAGCGAGTGTCTAAAGTCATCAAACCACTAGCCTCGGTCCTCAAAGCCTACTATTGAGGCGTACGCTTGGGTCCTCAGAGACTACTATCGAGAGGTGCCATTGTGTCCTGAAGGCCTACTATCGGGGGTACCCTTGACACCCAAAGTCTACTATTGGGTGCACCCTTGGGTCCTCAAAGCCTACTAATGAGGGATACCCTTGAGTACTTAAATCCTACTATTGGTTGGCACCCTTGGGTCCTAAAGGTCTACTAATGGTAGCATTCTCAGGTCCTCAAGACCTACTGTTGAGGATTTCCATGAGTCCTCAAGGCCTACGATTAGAGCTATAGAGACGCCCTCAAGGCCAACTATTAGGACTATCCATGGGTCCTCAAGACCTACTACGGAAAGGCACCCTTGGACTCTGAAGGCCTACTATTTGGGATATCGCTGATTTCTCAAAGCTTACTATTGGGACTATTCATGAATCCTCATGCCTACTATTGGGTGGCACCCTTGGATCCTCAAGGCATGCATTGAGGGCTATCCTTGGGTTCTCAAGGTCTGCCATAGAGGGGTACCGTTGGGTCCTCAAAGGCTTCTATTGGGTGGCAACCTTGGGTCCTCCATGCCTTCTATCGAGGGATACCCTTGGATCCTCAAGGCTACTATTGAGTACTACCCTTGGGTCTTCAAAGCCTACTAGTCGGGGTAGTCCTGCATCCTCAAAGTCTACTATCGAGGGATACCCTTGGGTCCTGAAAGCCTACTGTTGAGGGGTACCATTGGGTACTCAAGACCTACTATTGATGGGTGTAAATCAAATAGAAACAGATCAATCTATGTCTCTCCGATACAAATCAATCTGCTAGTCTCAACTTTTGCTTTTCAGCAATCGATGAAGTCGTAATTATTTTTGCAAATTGCAAATGATATGCTTGATCAAATTATAAAAGAAATACAGAGTTAAATTTTGCCGATGCGTTTCGTATTTATTTTATTGAAATTTAAAACACTCATCAGGACTCTGCCTTATAATAAACAAATTGCTTCATGAAAGACAATTGTTCTCTGAACTAAAAACATTATTACAACTACGAACTAAATTTTAGAGGCAAAAAACAATAGAATAATTTTAGAAAAGTTACACAATGACATAATACAACGAATCCTTAAATTTTATTAAGGCTGTACAATGCTATAACAACGTATAAAGAATTCTAAAATTTCGCAAATAGTGTACTGCACCACATTAAAATCGATAGAAAGTCTCTGACACATTAATACATTAAAACTTTTGGGTAATAGTAGAACTAACGTAACAATGTATGTCACTTTAAGTCCTTGACATATCAACAATTTCAAATGCTTCAGCTTGTATCTAAAATGTCTTTATTAATAAATTCAAGTGCTTCAATTTGTGACCAAGTTGTCATTATTGCTCATGTCATTTCTTTTTATGACAGACAATTACTATCCGAACATCCGGTTGTATCCAGTGTCCTAGGTGGTTGTGCCATTTCCTTTGGTAACAAACGATTATAATTCGGACATACTTATGTGATATTTTTATCAGATCAACAAATGGTTAACATTTTAATTTTGGGTTGTCAGTAACCAAATTTCTCAATTGTTAATTAATAAAAACAGATCGACGCTTATTCTTATCCTAGAAGTCGATCTGTTATACTGAACTATAACTTGTCATCAAACAATCACGTAAATTTTTGCACCAAAATAAAATTTAGACAGTAATAAATTTTTAACAATAATAAATGTTAATAACAATAATAATAATAATTGTATTGAATAATGTTACCAATTTTACTAATTATAAGATTATTTAAGAATAATTCTTTGATAAAATTAAAATTTTCCATTATTGGAATGAACATTTTAGAGAAGGATGGCCAAAATTATAATTATAATTTCAAAGGTAGAATGGTCATTTTTAAACCGGAATGGCCACTTTATTATACATTTCGAATAATTTAAAAGAGTAAATTGAACCATAAACATATTCTCATAGTCATGAACTTTAAATATCTTTATGAATATTTATTTTTAATCAGCAAATATACATCTTTTAAAATTTAAATGCCAAATATACATTTTGCAAAGTACAACAGCTTTGAAATATTTAGTAACTTTAAAAATTCATTTCTACATTTTGTATTAGAATCTTGAAAATCATTTTACCAAAAATATAGTAACTTTGAAGACTAATATTTCAATGTATTATCTCAACTAATAAGTTTGTATGATAATCATCCATAATAATTTCTGCTTTGGTAATCGTCGATAATAATTTAAGCTCTGGTATAGACTAATCGCCTTTGGAGATTATTGACATTCTGTGTACCAAGAATAAGCGTAGTTTCATCAATTGGAGATTCTCCAAAATATTTATTTCAGAGAGCATGAAATTTCAATGGAAATGTCTTCACACTTGAACAGTAGGTAAAATGAACAAACATTTTGCTGCCATAATCTATCGGTAATTTTTCTGTTATAGCAGCGTCTATTACGTTTTGACGATATATAACATAATTATTATGGTTTAAAGATTGATTAAGATTCCATTTGAATAAAACATGTTTAAATAATTCATCTATAAATTTATTTGGATATTTGTTGACTAACAATGCTATCCGTAACTTTTCGCGTTCATCTAAATATGCCTGAAAAGTTGAAGAATACCGAATAGCCCGAAGTAACATAGTGAAAATTATATCCTTTTTCATATGTAATGGATGAATACTATTAAATGACAGATAATATGGTTCATAAGATGGTTCCTGAAAAATTGTAGTACATAATTGACCATCACGATTTTCCATATGTAAGTCAAGAAAGTCAGCTGTTGAACCAATATTTTGAGGGTGTGGGTGTGGGTATGGGTGTAGGTGTGGGTGGGTGTGGGTGTGCGGATGTGCGTGTGGATGGTATGTAGGGTGGGGGTGTGGACATTCCAAAAGACAAAAACACACCCACACCCTCATGAAAGTGAAAGTTTAGAAAAACACCAGGAATCTACTTATCATAAAATAGCTGTAAAAAATTTATCATTTAGGCGGCAAGAAAGATCAGTAGCACAGTAATCATTTAATATTCGTGAATGGGACCGTCAAGAAAATCGTGAAGTATAGTGAAGTAGTAGATAAATAAGTCTTAACAAAAATTCTTGAATCAAGAATTATTTCAATTATGGTTGATGAAGGCACAGATATAAACTATCATCAAAACTTATCAATTTGTGTACGTTATTGTAATCAAGATACAGGCCAGTGTATTCTTGCTCTGCATTGACCTTGCCTGAGACCGATACTAGATGCATGATGCTTTTTTAGAAAAATCTGCTTACATGTAATATTTACACCTTCTAGGTGAGCCAACACAATCATATATTACTTTATTAAAAATAAAAGATAAAGATGCACAAACAATATTTGACATGATTGTTAAAGAATTACAATCTCATGTGAAGATATACATGAAGCACAAGAAATTTGATTAACATTGAAATCATTATTCAATTTTATTAATCGATCATCAATTAGATTAGTACATTGTAATGATATTCAAACATTATGAAAACATCCACAATTAACATTAATTCAACCTAGTGCTACACGATGTTTATCATATTCTCATGTTATTAATGCTGTTATTCGTTGTTATGAACGATTAATGATACCATTTCAATTTTACAAGATCAATCAACAATATGCACAAATGAAGTTAGTTTAGGATAATAACTATTTTTTGATGATAAAATAGTCAAATTTATTGATAAAATTATATCAAATATAACAGCTCGATTTGAATCAAATGTATTTAATATAATCAAACAACAGTACCCTAATGATTTTAATAATGNGCCGAATGGAAAGTATTTCGCAAATATTTATTTACACTAAAATAACATCAAACATCTACAATTTTAACACAACGACAACAATGTATTAATTTAGTTAAAAATGGAATGATAAGAGACATGTATCCACAATTATCATTAGCTACTGAAATATTTTTATGTGCAGCAGTTAGTACAGCAACAGTAGAACGTGATTTTAGTACAAGGAATAGAATATTAACTGATCTACGATATCGTGTAACAACAGAACATTTAGAACAATTAATGAGAATATCAATAGAAGAACCATCTGATTTAGATAATGATCTAAAAGATTTAATTATTGATTGTTAGAACAGAAGAAAAAGTGTAATGGTGTTGTAAAAAAAAATGAATAAAAGTCTATGTGCCTTTGTTATATAGAAAAAAAATGTAGCTAGCAGCCCTCCAAAAATCTCAACCGCCAACCCGAAAAATTAAACCTAGACAAAAGACTATCCCAG